GATAAGGGTTCATGACAGAGTTGGGATCCAAACATCTCCCCAGATCAGAGGGTTTCTGAGTTGCCCCCTCAGGTCACACACAGGCTCCTGTGGACAGCTGTGGCATTGCTCAGGCTCACAGAGCTCCTGTTTTGGGCACAGAAAGAGGAGTCCCCTCAGCCACAGCTGGGCTGTCAGCATAAGACAGGCTGGGTTTGAGCCCCCAGGGATAGAGAAAGGACTTCATGCTCACCTGCCCCAAATTTACCCTTTATGCAGAAGTAAAGAAAAAGATGACTTAGACATTATGGTGCTCTCCTGTTCCTAGGCCATTTTGGTATGAAAAGCTGAATTTGCTTTATTTCACACTGACTGCAGCAATGTTGGTAACTGCCAAAGAGCTTGCTGAGCAATAATGATGGCTCCTACCTCTTCCTTGCTCTGACAGCCTCCCATGTGGAAATGGGGCTGGCTGGCTGCAGCCACATTGCTGAGTCAAGACCCCAAAATGATTCTTACTAAAGGGAATTCTAACATGAGGCATCTTTCCCTCTGTTTTTCCATGCTGAAGCAGTAGCAAACCCACCCTCCACTCAGTTCCTTTTGTAAATGTACCTGTTGTGTTTGACTCACTGAGACAGATGTAGTGACCCTACAGCCAAATTTTTGGCTACACAGCCAACTCTCACAAATGTTACTGGCCATTTTTCCTTTGATGGAACTGCAGCACTGGGACTTGGCTGTGGGCTAACCATGCTCTCTGGTTAGCTTTTCAGGTCAGCTTTTCGGGTCAGCTGATATAGGAATATGCACCATTAACCCCCTCTTCAACAATAAAGTTCCCCAATCCCTCCATATGGGATCAGCCTTCACAGAGGTGTGCAACAGGGCCAGTTCTTCTAGGTGAAGCCTTTGTTTTCTTTCTTGTGTTAAACTATTCTTGGTGCCCCATTACACAGGGGTCTCCAGAGCCAGAGAGACACCCTGCAGTAGAGAGGAGACAGGTTGATGGTACATTTTGTATTTGTGACTCCATGAGATATATGTGAGGTAATAAAGCTCTATCTGAATTTACATGAACAAGACACCCACTGAAATGCTTCAGCATTTTAAAAAAATCCTGATTAAAAAGTTGGCCTTCACTTCTGGCTCCAAGCAGGCAAGGAGTGCAAATAAAAAATCGCCTCTCTCCTCTCACTCTTCTATTGGGAGAATTTTGCATAAATTAAAATTAATGCATTTTTTCAACTAGGTCAGTGGAATGTAAATGTTCTGTTCCAGGGAGGATTATACATGGTAACTCAGTTAAGGGACGCACAGCACAGATCAATCCCGCTGCATTTATCAAAGCTGAGCTGTTTGGAACAGAAAGCAACCAAAGTTTTCCTACCAAAAACACTTCATTGCAGTATCAGAAGGCTCATGAGACTTAGCATGAGTATTTGTCTCACTCCTGGGAAATCTCAAAGTCTTTCACTTTTGTCTCTATGTCAGATATGTCCTCAAATGTGGTCATGAAATCTGTGTGATAAAATGGGACAGCAGAAACATCCCCATCTCAGTGGTTTTTAGCTCCAGTGGGAAAATGCCTCCCTGTATTTGCAAACCAGGCAATGCAACATGAGACTCAGTAGCAAGTTGAGCAAAATTGAATTTGTGCTGCCCCAGGAGCTTGTCTGCTCCTGCTGTCAGGCCCGCATCTGGTTGCTGCCAGTTGCGTGCTGCCCTCAACAACTGCCTACTTTGTTTATGTTTTAGACCCCACAGTCAGCCTAGATGCAGACACTGTGCCAACTGAGCTAGTGCATCTGAGCCCCTGGTGGAGTCTGCAAACAAGCAAATAAGAAGACATATCATTTTATATCTCTCTCTCTGGCTTGGATTTTCTCCTGCACCACAAATCTGCAAGCACACACACACTCAAGTGTATAGAAATGAATGGCCACCCTGATTTCCTGCCATGCTGGAGAGAGGCTTCAGAGGTAAGCAGGCATGTTGCTGCTTTCAGAACTCGACTGGGACTTTTGTTTTGATGGGCTCAGTACTGTATATTCTGGTGTAAGAAAAGATACTGTAACTGAGACCATACTACAACAACAACTGAAACAAAATCTTCACAAAAAAATAAAGTATTTTTTTCATGATGGGTGACACTTTGCATTACGTTAGCTCCCTAGAACAACCTCATTTTAAAAAAAATATCATAACTAAATCTTTCTGAGCTGCAGACGTCCTTTTATGAGGATCAGAACAAAATTGCTATCAATGCAGAATAGGCCCAAACAAACTTGTAAGTAGTACGCGGAAGGAAATGGGACCTTGTTTTTCACATGGTTCTAGTACACACGCCCCCGCCGCATGGGTGTGTGGGGGCGTCCCGGGAGCGTATTACTCTGCTCTCCATTGCTGGCAAAATCTTGGCAAGAATACTCCTGAACAGACTAATACCCGCTATAGCAGAAGAAATTCTACCTGAAAGTCAGTGTGGCTTCAGAGCCAACAGGAGCACCACAGACATGATATTTGTTCTCAGACAACTGCAAGAGAAGTGTAGGGAACAGAACAAAGGTCTCTATGTAACCTTTGTCGACCTCACCAAGGCTTTCGATACTGTGAGCAGAAAAGGTCTTTGGCAGATTTTGGAACGTTTAGGTTGTCCCCCCAAGTTCCTTAAAATGATCATCTCACTTCATGAGGATCAGCACGGCCAAGTCAGATATGGCAACACACTTTCTGAGCCCTTTCTAATAAAGAATGGCGTGAAACAAGGCTGCGTTCTCGCTCCTACCTTATTCACAGTCTTTTTCAGCATGATGCTCCAAAGGGCCACGGCAGACCTCGATGATCAGGACGGTATCTACATTCGATATCGTACTGATGGAAGCCTATTCAACCTAAGGCGACTGAAGGCCCACACTAAGACCCTAAACCATCTTGTCCGGGAGCTGCTTTATGCTGATGACGCTGCCCTTGTTGCCCACACAGAAGCAGCTCTGCAGCGTTTAACATCCTGCTTCGCAGAGGCTGCTGAGCTCTTTGGGCTGGAAGTCAGCTTAAAGAAGACTGAAGTTCTCCATCAACCTGCACCTCAGGAAGTCCTCCATCATCCCCACATCACCATCGGCCAGTCAGAACTCAAATCAGTCCAACAGTTTAATTACCTAGGCAGCCTCATCTCCTCAGATGGTAAGATCGACGGGGAGATAGACAATAGGTTAGCAAAGGCATATAGTGCCTTTGGAAAGCTCCATAAAAGAGTCTGGCGTAATAAACACTTGAAGAAAAGTACCAAGATCAGTGTTTACAGAGCCATAGTGCTGTCTACTCTTTTATATGGTTCCGAATCATGGGTCATCTACCGCCACCACCTGCGTCTCCTAGAACGCTTCCATCAACGCTGCCTCCGCACAATCCTAAACATCCACTGGTCAGACTACGTGACCAATACATCTGTTCTTGAACAGGCAGCAATCACAAGTATTGAGGCCATGCTACTGAGAACGCAACTGCGATGGGCAGGGCACGTCTCCAGGATGAAGGACCACCGCCTCCCTAAGATCCTGCTCTATGGTGAACTTGCCACTGGCTGTCGCAAGAGGGGAGCTCCGAAGAAAAGATACAAGGACTCCCTGAAGCAACAACTCAGCCTCGGGCATATTGATCACCATAACTGGTCTACTCTGGCCTCTAATCGGGAGGCCTGGAGACAGACCATTTATAACGCTGCTGATGCTTTTGAGAAAGCACGCAGGATCACTCTTGAGGAGAAAAGACAACGCAGAAAGAATCGTGCCTTGGAGAATATACCATCTAAGGAGTCTTTCTGCTGTGTCTTCTGCAACCGGACGTGTCTATCTCGTATTGGCCTTTTTAGCCACCAACGCGCTTGCAAGAAACGTGGGTAGAGTCCTTCCCAAATCTTCGTTCGCGAAGCCTAGCCATGATGATGATGAGTACACACATTCCTTGCCTCTCACTGCATAATCATACCCAGGATGTATTTTCCCATTCCTTCAAATAAAAAATGCTCCTGTGAATAAGATGAAAAGTCTCTATACAGCGATCTGCACCTGATACCCTCTTCTGGTTTTTGACAATCAATAGTTTCAGGAGTCCCTGAGCTATAGGTTGAAGGTGGATTTTTCATCCTAACAGTGGTCCTATATGGCATGACTTCGTCTAAGTCTTACTTAAACACATTTGTGCAACAACAAGTTGCTGTTTTGGCAACAACTCCCATGATTTAATGCATCATGTGGAAAATTTCTTCCTTATGGTTTAAATCTATTGTAGGATAATTCAATTTGTTATCCCTAATTCTTGTATCAGAGAAATACAAATTAACCTTGGTCTGTTTACCTTCTCCATGCCATTGGTGATTTTATACACTTACATCTAGTCACCTCAGGTAGTTTTCTTTCCAAGTTGAAAAGGTCTAATTTAGTCTTTCCTGAAAAATAAACTGTTACAAAACTCTGACCATCCTTGTTACCTGTTCTATATCTTTTCTAAAATTATTAGCTCAGTGCTGGAACACTATTTTCTGTTCTGTTTTATTGTGTTCTCTCATTTAGCAATTCCTACTATCCAATTTGCCTTTTGACTGTTGCAGGGCAGTAAGTGATGTTTTCAGAAACCTCAATTTCAGTTACCCAAGATCTTTCTTGAGTGTTGCTATCTAGAGACTGTCACTGCAGATGTATAAGTAGAGTTATTTTTTCCCTAAGTGCCTTACTTTGCACTTGTCAATACTGAATTTCATCTGGCACTTCACTGTCAGTTGGTATTATAAGCTCCTTCTGCAAAAGTCAGCTTTAGCTTTGATTATTATGAATAATTTTGTATCATCTGCAAACTTCACCAGTATTCACCCGCTTTGCCATGCCCCATATAGAGATGGTGAACAGCATCGATCCCAGCATAAGCCCTTGGACACCCCTTTTGTAAACCTACCACCAATCCAGAGGAAATGTTGCTATATTTATTCTGTTATTCATACAGCTCCCTATCACATTACTCACCTTTGTTCCTTGAGGTGGTGGCTGGTGTAAGTTCTGCTTTGGTAGCTCAGAAATTTCATATTTGCTTTTTCAGCACACTTAGTTGAATGCTACCTTGTCCTTGTTGTTTTATCCAGGTGAATTTATCCAAAAGGGTCTGCTTTTCAGAGGCTGGCTGTGCTTCTCTTTGTCCAAAGATGTTCCACCTTGCCATCAAAGCTTCAGCTCTGGGAATAATGCAGATGTAATCACTTGTTTATCAGAAAATGTAAACCTTTTGTATTTTCCAGCAAAACTAATCCTTAAAAGAAGGGTCCTGTACATCTAGGTTAAGCTCTTAGACTGAGGGGGATTTCTCGATCAGCTCAGGCCTGAGGACTCCCTCAGTATCCAACATTTAAGTTCTATCAGTTGCAACTGGACAATTGTTTCAAATATATTGCATTGTAAACCCGGACTGCTGGAATTAGCATTCTGTTGAGCATTGAACACAGTGGAGTAGTGTCTTTCGCATTGTCCAAAAAAAGTGGGTTAGGGAGAACTGATTGCTGCTAATCAAAGGTTAATGTAGTAGAGTCCATATAAATAAGAATATGTTGACATCTTTAGAGTGCACATAAGCTCGTGCTCATGTATTCCTCTGAACTGGAATCTACAGCAGAACACATATATGCTCATACTTCTTCCTGTCAGTGAGAAGGAGATCTGGCAGGACCGCAAGTTGCATTTTCACCCTTCCTTTTCCCATTTACTCTCAGTGCAGGTAGCTCTATAGTCTACAGATCTTTGTCTGACAAGCAGATGCAGATGCAGAGCTCTGTTTTAGTCAGGCTCGCAAACTGTAAGTCTCCTCTAGTTTACTTTGCGTCACTCCTATCTGATAGAACAAACAGCAGTCACTAAGCTGAGGATTGCCAAAGCTATGCCAAAGTATTGCTTGTACCACTCTTTGCTGTCCTTGAGCCTAGCTTCAGATTATACTTCCATGAAGAAAACAATATAAATTGTGCTAAGTATTTCAGGTATAAAAGCCTCCTCAGACATAAAAGTTTCATCAGATATAAAAGTCTATTAATTTCATTGCCAAGGTGCAAATCACACTGCAAGCAATAGACATTTAAGCTACTCTCAGAAATACCTACAAATACTTCTCATTCACCATGAGCCACTGATTAGAGAATTTTGTGAGTGAGGCACTACTTAAAAGCACTATCCATCTGGATTAATTTCCCTGGTCCCCCATGATGGATCAGACCATGCTCTCCAATACCACTATCTCTCATGTGATGCTCTGCTCGCGCCTGGCAGCTTGATGCACAGATCTAGCTTGTGCAACAGTGACAGACTTTCCTATGTACCACATTCACTGGGGGCAGGAAGAAAAGAAGAAAAATTACAAACTTGGCATCAGACTTGGAAAAATTGGTTTGGCCACCCAATTTGGGCAATATATTCTTATTGTTATTTGTCATGAGCAATTACACGTTATTTTTTTCTTTATTAGCATTCTCTCTTCAAAAGATGATTGAAGAGATTGTGTTAAGGCAAATAAACTTTTTTTTTTTTTTACTTCAGTATACTGGTGTTCAAAGTAGTTTACATTCTGCAGGAGCACATACCAAACCCTGCTGCCTCCTGTCAGCACCCACCATAGAATCCCAGTGGACATAAACACTGTAATACCCCAGAAAAGCAGAGTGCTAATGTGCTCCAAGTACCCAGCTCTTGTGTTTTTAATGGAAAACTCATGGTGGAACCTAATTTGGCACCTGTAAAAATCCATGCCCAGTTAAAATTTGGCTTCCGTGGGCGTACCAAGCCCAGAGCTTCTAGAGCAAATACTGAGCTCCAGCAGAGACTGATTCTGATCACTAATGCCTCGATCAATATTGGCTTTATGATTTCCTTGATTTCTTCACTGCAATATGTGCTGCAGACCCTATTTTCCTCAGAAAATCTTACCGATGCTTTACAAATGGAGGATTGGTCCTGAAGATTTGGATTCAAGCGCCTGGAAGGCTCTGAGGACGCTCAGGCAGCATTGAACTGAGGGAGCTCTAAGGCTGTCCTGGGTTTTGCTCAGGCATCCTTGAACCTTTTGCCCGTGCAAGGGACTCCTGGATACAGAGGCTCGTTTGTTTCCCTGCGATGGTTTTTCCTGCTCTCCCGGTGCGCAGCGTTTTAGCAGCAGCAGCGCAGTGTGGGGAGATGAGAGCAACTCCCGAACGCACCCCTCAGCACCGTGTGAAAGGGGATAAGGGGAGAAGAGAGGGAGGGGATTTGTTATAAATAAGTTAACCCCTGATGTTGGCCTTTCTGGTCGGAGTAAAGGCTGCAGCTTACCGGGGCCGGGAGCAGCGCTGGGGGAGAGGGAGGGAAGGAAGAAGGCAGGAAAGGAGGAAAGGAAGCAGGGAAGGAGAAAAGGAAGGAAGGAAAGAAGGAGGGAGAGAGGGAAAAGGACGGACCACAGCAAAGAGGAAAAGCCACGGCGCGAACTTGAGGGAGCGGGCCCGGCCCAGCCGGGCTCCCGCAGCGCCGCCTCGCGGCACCGCCGCGGCACGGCCCCGGCTCGGGCTGTTCCAGCGCACCCCAGGGAAGGGCACGTGGGTTTACGTGGCTATTCCCTGGAGCATAGCGGCGAGGCGGACAGGCGTTTTCCCCGGGTGATGGCCACGTACCTGTGCCAGCACAGCCTGGGAATCAAATGCGGCACGCTGAGAGGCAGACCCTGGCATACACACTTAGCCCCAAGGTGCTCAGCACAAAGGCGCACATTTGGGCACCGTCAGCGTAGTAAGGATGGCAGCAGCACTCCAGAGAAGTGTATGCTTCTCCATCTCTATGATAATTACCTCTCCTGTGGAAGTTTCTACCCACCTTGCAGAAAAGCAGGCCCTGCAAAGCTCCTTGTGACCAACTTGCTCAACAAGTGCAGTGTGCTGTTCACATTTCCCAACACTCACCTCCTGTGGACCCTTCTAGGGGTTCCCACGGTGACCCTCAGCAGCAGCTACAGCCCTCATCCCTTTTCCACACTCCTTTAAAGCAAAAGGACAACTTTACAGAAGGACATTTCCAAAACTGGGATGGAGGGATGACTACTTCTTTGAGAACTGCTGCCTACAGCAAAGGTGGCTGAACTCCCCAAATTATGAATTGTGCTAAACTTATGAGATAAGATTGAAGACAGTGTAGCTCCATGATGTGATTCACCAGTGCTGGTGGGCAGATGGTCTGTCTGGAAACACAATAAGGGAGGCAATCAGAAGGAAATGTTAGGGATATAACTGTGCCTTGCTAAATAGATAGGTGCGTGCCTCTTAGCCAGACTGCCCTGGGGGCCTGCTCAGGGCAGCACTGCCTGGGGCTGTCTGCACCTTATCCCAATGCCAAGGGCTGCCCAACTGCACATGCAGCCCTGTCTGGGCTGTGGGACAGGGGCATACCCCAGGGTAAGGAAATGCTGGTGCAGGAGCGTCAGGGGTGTGTTTCTGGCTGCACCCAGCACTGATTTCAGTGCAGAAACACTGATGTGGAGAAGCCTCATCCAAGACAGCGAAACAGAGAACAGGGCTGTGAGCCTGACCAAAATGTGGGTAGGAGGAGCACCACCCTTCTGGTCTCACAGGACTCTTCTGCACTGTAAGCTCAAGATGCAGACTCATCCCCTGTCCAGCGCCCATTGTGCATTTCTTATTTTGCAGCTTTTAAGAGAAGGTCTTCACCTTTTCACATGTTTATATTGATGTCTGTATTTTTTTTATCTTTTCTGCAGCACTGTTTCTCATCAACAGAAGCTCCATGTAGTGTTTGGCATGGAGTTCATTACTGATCTTGAAATTAATTAATTAATAATTATATAAAGAAACCTATATTTGGCCCTGCTGCTTCTTCTCAGTGCATACCTGCTGTGTGGGGAGGTAGAATTTAAACCTCCAGAAGGACCAAACCAAGGCCATGCTCTTTTTTAAACATTATCTTATTTACCAGAAGGAGAGGCAGTGAAAAGCAGGATGAGCTTTGATCATGCCCAAATATGGAGTGTAATATTGGATACATGAATACAACATTGTCAGGGGTGCTTTTTTTTCTGCCCAGAAAAACAAAATTCTCCTTAAAGAAACAGCTGTGTCCTGCCTGCAGCCTGCAGAAGAATGGCATTAGTCACGTGCAGTCCAACACGTAGCACAATTGTAAAGTTCGCTCTATGAGACTGACAGGAGCTATTCATATCGGCCCTCTCCACCATCTGCCTGAATGGCAGGCTGCGGGGTAGCTGCAACCCCCCCTCACTGTCTCTGCATGGCCTCAGCACTTAGTGCCTGCTCAAAGTCTGTCCCCAAGTGCAGAAAATCAGGGATTGAAAGCAAAGAGAGGATGTCACTCAGGTCAAAGCAGACTGTCAAGAAGGGAAAAAAAAAAGGAGTGGGGCAAAAGAGTCAAAGCTTTATCTGTTGGGAGAGCCGGGTTGCTCTTGTCCTGGGAGCAGAGGTGTTAGTTTCAACGAGAAGATGAGGAGGGAGAGCAAAGTGCACAACTGGACAGCAGGAATCTGGGAAGAAATTCCATATTCTCCTTCCCTGAGTTTAGAGGACTCAGATACTCCTTCCCTGAGCTCTGGGACAGGACCAGGCTGCATGAGGGTCAGTGCCAGGGCAAGATGTCCCTGCTGCTGTCTGCAGCACCTGTGTGCTGGGGTGCAGGAAGGGATGCCAAGGGCTTTGGCTGCACCCCTTTACACACTCTGTCAGACATCCCTTTCATGTGAACCCACAGGTCCTGAGTTGGCCAGGCTCACATCCCAGGCTGAGACCAGGCTCTAAGTCTAGAGAACAACCTGTTTGGAGGCCTGAACACTATCAGTACCACACTACCTCTCTCCCTCACCCCTTTTCCCCTTGCCACTTTGAAGGTCAGACTAGATGGAGAGAGGTTTATTTTCATCCTATGAACTGTTGTTCCTTCTCATTTCCAGACAGTCATATTTTTCCTCATGACAGGAATTCCTACTATCAGTTCCTGAGGTGCGTGGCTCAGAATTACTGCAATCCTTTCCTCTCTCATTGCATTTACTCCTAAGATTACCCAGTTCTTGCAGTTTTATGTTAAATAACATTCATTTTTATGCCATCAGTGTGTCATTGACATCTTTCCACTTCAGTCATGGTCAACATGAAATCTAAAATCAGGATCCCTGAGTAAGAGTATTAGTGGTCTTCCTCCATCTCAATACTACTTCTCTCCAGGCCAATACTTCTGGTTTCACATGAACCATTGTCACCTCCCCTTAGACTCTTGGCTCTCTTTTTCAAGTGTAGAGGGAAAGCAAAGACTTAGGAAGCAGCAGGTGAGTGAAAAGATACTATGCAACTGAAATATCTTTGCTTTTAACTGCCTGTAGGGGACAAAGTAAAGGAACAATTCACTGGTGACCCACCTGGAAATTTTCCAGCTTATTGTCTTACATTTCCCAACTGTTGGAGCCCCATTTTCTCTTTGCTTTGAAGTGCACATCCACTAGGCTCAACAAGGAGTCCTCTCCTCTTCTCTCCTCTCTGACCCTCTCCTCTCCGACCCTCTCCTCTCCTCTCTCCTCCTGACAGTAGGGTGAACCCTGTGACAAAACCTGTAGAAAAAGCTTCATTTTAGTGGAGGAAAAAGAATTTTGAGTTAACTGGTGTCAGAACAGTGACCTCTGACTTTTTTTGCTGCTCATCTGTTCAGTGAGCTACCTTTTGCTTTACCAGCATGATTTGGGTGTTCCTGCTCTTTGAAATGCTTGTGACACTTAGGAGAGAGAGATCCCTGCCCCAGTTAATGGTGTGCAGTGTGGTTAGTGCATCTGCTCACATGGTCCAGGACAACCTGGTGCTGGAATACCTTTGCTGAATGGGTCTCTCAGCCTGGAAAATAGCTGTGGGAGATATTGATATAGAAGTGACTAAATATTGACATCACTTACAATGAGTGACATTTTAAAAACACTTTGCAGGTATTTTTGTGCAAGAAAATCTTCTTCATTCAGTCTTGAAGGAAATACTGCATTTTAGGAGAGACCTGGCTGCAATTTTCAAATGAATTGATTAATTCTTGTGCTTTACTTTAAAAAAGGAGTCAGAAAACTTTACATACCAAATATTCCCAAGAAGACAGTTGTCAGGGGGTGACATGTCAGATATGAAGTGGCTCTCCAGCTGGTCCCTGTCTGCATGCTGGGAAGGCATGTGGAGACATTTTTTCAATTGCTGTACTAGTTTGACATGTTCACAGTGGAAAATGATGTATCATTCTTGAGCCTTTGGTTGGTGGACACTTCAAAGTGCATTGGATCCTCGTAGAGGAGTGCCCTATTGTTAATTGTTTCTTTCACATGTACATTGGGATGAACATGGTGAGAGCAGCGAGGAACAAAAGGGCTCCGGTGGCCTCTTAGAGAAAACCCTGTGCAGCTCAACCTGAGTCTGACCTTGAAAGGGTGGGTTGCTCTGGTTTTTAAATCCTGCTTGCTGGTTCATTCCCCTCTGGCACCCCACTGTTACCCAGCTGCAGGAGAATGAGATGCCGGAGCACTGAGCATAGCAAGGCATGGGGAGCCCCTCCTGCCCTCCCATGCGGTGCCCAAGAAACCACATCCTGCACAACATCCTTCTGGGAGAGGATGGGCATGGCTGTAGTCTAGGAGCTTGGAATGGGCTTCTGCAGTAAGTATGTTGGAGGGGTGCTGGGTTTTCATTATCCCCCAGTAAGCAGGCAAGCCATATCCACCCTCCTCAGTCAACTGACCCCTTAGCCATCAGTCTCACAGAACAGCCGTGGGGTCTTGAGCCCGTATGATTGGATGTAGGTCACATAATACATGGCATGAGTTTCTCAGGTCTCTGAAGATATAATTCATTAACATGCTGAGATGATCCTTTACTCCCAGGCAGCTGTCACATATCTCTCTGTCTCCCCCTCTTACCCCCTTGGGAGATCAACTAGCTCTAATGGGAGACTGCACTGTGCTTTGTGATGACCAGGTTGGGTTTGGAAGTTCAAGCACAGGAGGCAGCTTGTTCCTGCAAACAGAGACATGATCCTTTGGTGTACATCTCTTCCAATGAGCTAGACAAAACCTCTCCCTGTAGCCTCAGGTGCATGGAAGTGTCTGTGTCAGGCCACGGAGGGGGGCCAAGCTCCAGCCAGCGAATCCTGAAATAGATGCTCAAGTAGGTGACTGGAAATTGCCCCCCACAAATGATCTGAAAAGAGAACAGAGGTTTGAATGCTGGCATAAGTAGATGACAGAGGGTGCAGGCAGGGCTTGCTGCCCCAGGTTTGCTAGGGAATGAATTGCTTCTGAAATAGAAGCTAGAGGAGAGAGGCACATCTGCAAGTAGCAAATCAGCCACTCTGTTATAGCCCACTGCAGGACCATAAACTCTGTAGCACATTCTTTTGCAGGA